TATATATAGATATATTTATACTTCTGAAACTATAGTAAGTGTTGATTCAAACAGTGTAGTGCCACATATAGGCATAATAATCTCACCTGAAGCCGAACTTGTCCATTGCAATGGCAAAGTGTCTTGGCTGGTCGTAACAATGGTACAGGTTGCGGTCATCCATCGGGATCAGGTCCACGTCGCTGAAGATGAAGCAGTCATACTCTGCGTCCTTCAGAGCCTCCGTGTAGCCGACATTCAACAACTTTGCTCGATTGAAGGTGTCCTCGCCCAACTGCAAAGAAAATGAGTTTATTACATACAGAAGAGCCTCTAACAGCTTTAAACGACAAGATTATTGTGCACAACACATTATACTCCTGTCAACAACCTAATATACAGCAAGACAGCAACCTATAGCAACGGCCCGGACAAGCAAAGACCTGGTTTTATCTTTGATCTTAATTTGTGACCTTAGATTTTAGAGCTTACATAAAACAAGTCTTGGGAATTGCCAGCTACTAAAAATTATTTACATTTAAATGTTTAAACATCCAAAAGACCACCATTTAAGAAATTGCACAATAAGTTATGTAGTGGTGGACCATCAGGACCAGTGAAGTCTTCTCTGCTGGCCAAAACACAATCAGAACCACTAAGTTACATTTTAGTTAACTTGTTTTCTGTGTATTAATATTATTCTGAAATGTCTGTTCTCTTCATTTCATAGCTTTTCTCCTTGCTGCAGCTTCCAGTAATATGTTTATATAGAGCTTTCATCCAATCCTATTTCGACAATCATTTGTTGCTAGGGTCAAATAAATCTGTCCCGAGGCTTCAGAATCAACAGACACCTGCAGGTTAAAACAAATATCAATGCAACTGTTGCTATGACCAATCAGATTTTGAGCTGGAGACACCAGGGCCTTCCAGCAGACATTAGACAACGTCAGAATATTCATGTCATTTGATTGGACAGTCAGAGAGTGACCAGAGGAAACTGCATCATAGTGACCAGTATATGTTCACTACCCTTAATGGGGAGTAGACAGTCTCACCCCTAAAGTAAATTAAAATTCATGTCAGAAATGTGACAGAACAGACTCAACTTTCAGCATTAGCTTTCAAGGAAAATAACTTGTTGCTGAAATGGAAATGTCATGATGACCTGTAGGACAGAAGAACTGAACTCTTGAGGAAAGAAAGGAGAACAGAGTTTGTGTACAAATAATCAAAAACCTTTAGTGAGTAAAATGCATTTTTAAAATATATTTATGTCCATTTATTACATCCATATTGATGCTTTTGGTTAATATGATGTGATGCAGCTTTGGTTCAGTAAAAGGAAACTTGATGAATACTGCTAATTGGGTTTCTTGCTTTAGTAACGGCATTCGTTCTTGTTACATGAGATACCTGTCTGTGATGCAGCACCGTGTTATTTTTATTATACTATTCATAATGTTTCTGTGTATTATTGATGGTTTCTGTAGCAGTGGTGTCATATTGATGGCATTAAGAGGTAGACAAATTCAGGCAGGACAGCACTGAAGGCATATGTGTAAAATGCATGGGCTGCTATTAAAGTTGTGTTTGTATTTGCTAATTAAAAGCCCTAAATAAATAAACTTTTTTTTTTGCCAATTGTGTCACATTTAAGTAAAAACGTAAGCTTTGTCACATTACTTATGATTTATTTTATTATTTTACCCTTACCAAAAGGTAACCAGTTTAAGGTAGCAGAGCATCAATGAGCATCAGTGTTAAGTGTCTGCAGTTTGTGTAGTATTTATTGCTACATGCTGTATGAATTGATGAGTTCATTGACTCCAGGAGAACTGGTAAAATGAATCTTTTTTTTTTCTCTCAATGTCAGTGCAGTGCAGGTTCAGGACTTTGGCTAAGATAAATGAATACTCATCTGACAGCACAGCACACTGAGACAGTCAAGGTTAATATATCTGTCAGTTATAAAATTTAATATTGCACGACGTATTGTATATCTCTCTCAGCAAAGTCTTTGTGCAACATGTTGTCTTGGTAAATCGAGAACCTTGTCAGGCAGAAGGAAGGTCAGCAAACAAAAGGAGACTACAGTGCGAACGAACTTTCATCAAACTGTTACATGATTCAAATTTTTATTATTTCCTGAACAGGTACAAGGAGGAGCGGAAACTGTAGTCTGAGGTTTGATAGAAACATTCAAACACTTTGTTCTGTGGGGTTCGTGGGGCTTAATACATGAAAAAATGCCTATCAGAAGTTAAAACTCATGAAGACCCTCATAAACACTGAATAAAATCTTTATTGTACCAATTAAAGTTTTAATTGGATCAACAAAATTATTTGCTCCATGACCAATAAGCCATTTTGCAAATGACACAAATGTTATGGTCCAGTTTGGGGGTGACAGTCATAACTGGTATCCATACTTACCCTATTTGAATTATGGTGGTTATGGTTATGGTGGATTATAAGCAAAATGCCAGATACAGTTGTCCAGCTGGATGACAGACTTTTTTTTTCGAGCGGACCGCTGCAGCGAGCTAACGAGGAAATCACGGGGAAGCGGAGTGTGCATTTACATGAGTAAAAGTTGGTGCACGAACTGTACTGTTGTAAATAGCTCATGCTCAAAAGCTTTGGAGCAAGTAACAGTGAAATGTCGGCCACATTATCTACCCCGCGAGTTCACAGTGACTTTTTTCATCACAGTTGTTTACATTCCTCCGGTTGCTAATGCTAATGAAACACTACAGGAGCTATATGATATCATTAGTTCACTACAGAACAAACACCCTGAGACCCTCCACGTTGTAGCCGGAGACTTTAATCACGTGAATCTTAAGGATTTAAAGCTTCCCAAGCTTTTATCAGCATGTGGCAATTCCAACACGTGGGAACAACACGCTGGACCATGTTTACACGAACGTAAAAGATGCATACAAAGCCGAACCCTGCTCCCACCTAGGACTGTCAGACCACATCTCAATCTTCCTGGCTCCTGCTTACATGCCCCCACTGAGACGCTCCAGACCAATACAAAAGAAAGTTAAATGTTGGATTCAGGACAGTGGCCCCATACTGAGAGATTGTTTTGATCGAACAGACTGGCAGGTTTACAGAGAAGCTGCTGCAAATGGAGAATCGCTTGATCTTGACCAATACACATCCTCAGTTCTGGGTTACATTAGTACATGTACTGAAACCGTCTCCACTATCAGAAATGTTAAAAGCTACCCAAACAGAAAACCTTGGCTAAATGCAGAGGTGCGCACCATGCTAGAAGCAAGGAACACTGCCTTCAGGTCTGGAAACTCAGAGGTTCTGAGTAGGACAAGGAAAGAGTTGGTTGCTGGTATTAAGAAGGCCAAGGCCACATATGCACAGAGAATCGAGGGTCAATTCACCTCGCAAGACCCTCGGAGCATGTGGAGGGGCATTAATTGCATAACAGATTATAAAGAAAGGAGTGAACATTACCCCAAAGACCCATCTCTGCCTGATGCCCTCAAGTTCTATGCATGCTTTGAAGACCCGAACAGACCACCCAGTACCAGACTCACCTCACCACTGGATGAAGAGCATCTCAGCGTGACCTCAGCCAAAGCAAGGAGTACTTTTAGGAGGATTAATCTGCATAAGGCAACCGGCCCAGACAACATCCCCGGAAAAGTATTGAAAGAATGTGCCGATCAGCTCTGCGAGGTGCTGGCAGACATCTTTAACACCTCACTTACCCTGGAGACAGTTCCCACCTGCCTGAAGACTGCCACCATCATCCCAGTCCCAAAAAGCTCTAAAGTGACTGGTCTGAATGACTATTGGCCAGTGGCCCTGACCCCGATCGTCTCTAAATACTTTGAAAAACTGGTTATGACTCACATCAAAACAACAATCAACATCAACGAGGACCCTCATCAGTATGCATACCGTGAGAACTGATCAACAGAGGATGCCATCTCCTCTGTGGTCCACACTGCACTCAACCACCTGGAGCAGAAAAACTCTTACATCTGTATGCTCTTTGTGGACTTCAAATCTGCCTTCAACACCATGATCCCCCAAACCCTGATGGACAAACTATTCACACTAGGATTAAGCCCCTCCATTTGCAACTGGGTACTAGACTTCTTAACAAACAGACCAAAGTTAGTGAGGATCCACAACTTCTCCTCCTCCACCATAACCCTCAGCACTGACTCTCAGCAGGGACGTGTGTTGAGCCCCCTCCCATTTACTCTGCTCACGTATGATTGTGCAGCTACCCATCCAGGCTGTCACATTGTAAAGTTTGCAGATGATACAGCGGTGGTGGGATGCATCACAAACAACGATGAGTCCAGCTACAGGCAAGAGGTGGAACACCTGGAGAGCTGGTGCAAAGAGAATAACCTTCACATCAATGTGAAGAAGACAAAGGAGATGATTGTGAACTTCAGAAGGAACAAAAACACTTACACCCCCTGAATATAAGAGGATCTGCAGTGAAAGTGGTCTCAAGCTAAAAGTACTTGTGTATACACATGAATGACAACCTCAGCTGAAGCAACAACACCACCAGCCTGATCAAGAAAGCTCATCAGAGACTACTTCCTCAGGCGGCTGAGACAAGCTGGTCTGAGAAGCTCAGTCCTCACCTCCTTCTACAGGTGTGCAGTGGAGAGCATCCTGTGCTCCAGCATCAAAGTGTGGCATGGAGGCTGCACAGCTGCAGAAAGAAAAGCTTTGCAGAGAGTGGTGACGGCTGCAGAGAAGTCTGTTGGAGTCAGTCTCCCCACCATCACAGACATCTACACCTCCAGATGCAGGAAGAGAGCCACCTGCATCATGAAGGACCCCACTCACCCAGCACACACACTTTTTGCCCCACGCCCCTCAGGAAGGAGGTTAAGTGTAGAACCACTAGACTGAGGAACAGCTTCTACCCTGAGGCTGTAAGACTCATGAATCTCTAACCAGAATAATCACTGTGAAAAAAAATCACACCATGTTGCTGCTGATCTGTTTCAATGTCGCTGCTGATCTGCTTCAATGTTGGTGTGTTCATGCGTGCTCATCTGCTTACACGGATTTGTGTTCATGTTTGTGCTGATGCTCGACGTAATGCTTTTATGTTATGAGTGCTTAGTGTATATTTAGTTGATGTTTTTCTTAGTTCATATTTTAGATGTTATCATTGTTTTTCTTTTACATTTTATTGTCGGATGTAACTGGGACCCTGTGCACATAATTTTGCTCCACCACATATACCACATGAGATGCGAATGACAATAAAGAATCTCTGACTCTGAT